ATATTATAAAATATGGTGCTGTTATAAATATTTATATATTTATAATAGAGGCATTCTTAGAAAATTCAAAAAATTGTAGAAGACTGCAAACCTCAGGGCTTGTTTGCAAGTGACCTAGTTGCCCACAAAACACCCAATTTTCCAGCCCGATTGTTCCCCACTGTCCCTCCAGCCTCCCTCTGGGAGGGATCAGTTGGAATAAGTGTGTGTTTTCTGACTGGTCGCACCACCATTCTTTATTTATGCATCCCAAGCTTTCTCTATTGCCCTGAGGTCTCCCCACTCAGGCTGTTTGCATAGTTTGCAAGAAAATCAAGCACCGTAAACCTTCTGAAGGCAACCCAGGTTCATCCCCAAAATGTACTGAGATAAAATGGCATTTACAGCTTTATGGAGAACAATTGTGGCGGGGGCGCCTGTTCTTTAGCCGGCAAGGTGTCCCAGAAGGTGAGGGCCTCTGCCAAGGAACACCCCTGTGCCCCCTCCCCCTTAGCCTTCCATGGGATGGAGACCCAGAGCAGTCCCATTCAGGATGAAAGCGTGGGGCAGGTGAGATGGTTCTGAAGGCACCTGGGCACCAACTCAAGGAGGACTCTAAAGGTTAAAACCATGCTTTTGCATGATCTCTGGGAACCTACTGGGACCCACCCAGCAACCTTAACCTAAGTGTCCTGTTGTTGAACATCCAAAGACAACGGCATTTAGAACCAGCTGCGGTTCCCAAGTTGTCTTCAAGGGCAGCCCTGTGTAAAGTGTGTCGCAGTAGTCTAATCCCAGGATGACGCCGGATATGACTTCCTACTGCAGTGGCGTCCAAAAAGGGGCTGCAACTGGGTACAGCATCTCTTTCCTCCCCCAGCATCAGCTGCAGGTCCTGGAGGACCCCCCCAAGGTTGGGGACCTGCTCCTTCAGGGAAAGCCCCATGCTATCCAGAGCTATTTTGAAAGCATGCCCAGTTACCCTCAGAAACCCTTGCTCTGCAAGACCCCACTGTCCATGTCTCTTTATTTTTTGCTTTCTGAATGTGGCCCGGAAGCAGAGACTCTTGGTTTTGCCCCCAGTTTAGGGTTCTGTGCTGCACAGGCTGGTCTCTGGCGCTCAGGGTCTTCTTTTGACGCTTTGTGGTCTCTCTGCAGGACCTCTGGTCTATTTCCTGCAGCAAGTGGACCGGGCTTTATCCAAAGTGAGCCCTTTTGCTGCCGCTGGTATCGTGGTGGGGACACTGTACTGGTCGGCAGTGACTTATGGGGCCGTGACTGTGATGCAGGTAAGGCTCAGGTTGGCAGCAGGAGAGGCTGCCCCACCCAAGACCCTCCTGCACTGTGCCCAAATAACCACGTTGGTCTGCAAGACTTGATGAAGACCAAAGCTTTGGGGGTGTCAAAAGAAAGTTGGTGAACTGATGTTCTCCATCAGGATTAAACTTCTGGACAGGGCCATCTTGGGGGGGATCAACATCTGCAAGGGGGCAGGACAAAAAGGCAGGCTTCAGTCATGACGCTGGGCCTGCCATCTTCCCAAATTTCCATTTGCGCACACCCCCAGCCCCACACCCCCAGCCTTGCACACCTTCGTGCTTCTGAAGCAACCCTAATGAGATCCAGGCTGGTGGAAACCAGGCAGAACTGGGTTCTTTTCAGAAGGGATAAAGACTGAAAGATGGCAAAGAATTTGACTGGAGCTGCCTGGGTTACTAGGCTGCAATTGCAGATTAGCTGTAGACCTAGAGCTGTTTTCCATCCCATCCTGTTTCACTGTGAAGCTCAGGGAACAGCAACCCAGCAGAAAGCACACGCTGCACGGCTGTAGCAGACTTGCTTTAAAACGGGCTTAGCCCGGGGTCTGAAAGCACTGTGGTTTATCAGCCCTGATTTACCACTTGGAGTTCTGGGTGAACCAGACCACTGTGGCTTGTTCGGGGCACTGGGGCTAAAACAAAGTCTGGCTTAGTATAATAAGAAATCCAGCTAGAGAGTTCTCCTGGGCCCTCTTTGAAAGGAAATTGGGTTGAAGCCATTCCACCCTTTTTATTCCCTTAAAAAATTCAGATGTGCCCCATTTGCACGTTCTTGGAAATCAAGGAGATGCTGAAGCTTTGCTTTGCAATATGCCAATTTCTCGTTTTTAAATTAATTTTTAAAAAATGGAAAGTGTCAGGTGTGGCCGCAGACCAAGGGAAGTGTCTGTTGGTGTCTCAGGGCCCCAGGAGCGCACCCATCTCCCTTTTTTTACCAGCAGCGACAACCCTGCGAGGTAGGATTGAGCTGAGAGAGAGTAACTGGCCCAAAGCCCTCCCTGGACAGGCCAGAACTGGGATCTAGTCCAACCCCTTCACCCCTGCCCCACACTGGCTCTCCTGTCTAAGATGATTTGGGTTTGTTTGTTAGCTTCCTATCCCGCCTTTCATTCAGGAGCTCAAGGTGGCATGCAAAGCCATCTCTTGCTTTTCCCCACAACCATCACCCTGCGAGGTAGGTTGGGCTGAGGGACAGTGACCTGCCCAGCATCACCCAGAGAGTTTCTTTGGCTGAGGCGGGACTAGGATCTGGGTCCCCCCAATGCTAGTCCAACTCCTGGCCCCCCAACCCCCCTTGGCTCTCCATCTCCACAGGTGGTTGGGCATAAAAAGGGCCTGGATGTGATGGAGCGAGCCGACCCCCTCTTCCTGCTCATGGGGCTGCCCACCATCCCGGTCATGCTGGTGCTGGGCAAGATGATCCGCTGGGAAGACTACGTGCTCCGGGTGTGGCGGAAGTACTCTAGCAAGCTCCAGGCCCTGCATTCTTGGGTTCCAGGTCGGTGGATTCCTCTTTGGATTCTGGGCACCTGCTTTGAGGTGATATGGACAGGGCCGGGGGGGCCATGGAGCTGACTTTTCCCAGGCTGCAGGGGTGTCCACAAGAGGGAGGTCAAATAGTCAAGATGGCAGCACAGTCAACCTTGGCCGTGAGTTTGACTCATGGGAGGGAGGCCAATAGCAGTGTGTACTGCATCCTTATCCACGTTAGAGATAAATGGTACACCAGGGTTTAAGTCCTGCAAAAGGAACAGTTCCACTTTTACCAGGTGATTCCTAGGTTCGCTTGGCCTTTGGGCATTTCCTTGCTCTTGATTGGCATAATGTGCAGCTGAATCCTTAATTATGTCGGGACAGGGGCTCTATACTATAGGGGCAGCATATAAATTAAATAAATAAATAAATAATTTATATAAATAAAATAAAAATACTATGTACAGGTGGTCCTCGGTTCAGTAACTGTTCAAACTTAGGAGGGCGCTGAACAAGTGGTAGTTACGACCAGTCCTCAGAGTTCTGGCCGTCGCAGCATCCATGTAGTTAGGTACTTGCGATTTCCAACATTCCCTGCTGGCTTCCCATAAGCAAAGTCAGTGGGGAAGCCGGCAGGAAGTCAAAAGTTGTAGTCAGCTGAGTCCCACTTAACAATGGCAGCTGGGACTGCTGGGAGGGCCATTGCTAGGCGGTGCAGTCACATGATGTGCTTTTACGACCACATCGCTTAGCAACAGAGTTCCTGGTCCCAATTCCTGTTGTAAACTGAGGACTACCTGTAAGGCCTTATAAAGAAGCTAATAGGTCAGCAGTTTTGTCACTGGAATCTGGGAATCCAGTCCCCTTAGAGCAATGTTCCTCAACCTTGGGAACTTGAAGATTTGGGGGCATCTCACCCCCCGATACCCCACCCCACCCCGCCTGGGGGTTTTTTGTGGTTGAATCCCCACAGCTTTAAAGATCCCAGGATTTGGGACA